CAAAAAAATAGGTTAAAATTGAAAATTTGGACTGATTATTTTTAACATATTAAAAATCAAATCAGTAATAATTTGAAAACAAATTTTTTTTTCTTTTAATTATTATTTTATATATATAATTAGTAATAATATAAAAAATTAGAAGTGATAGAAATAGTCTACTTGCAGATTTGAAAACAACGCGAAAATTTGATTTAGAAAAGTATATTTTTGCTTCTGATGAAAGTTCCTTGTAGTCCAGTGCATTTTTTTATAGTAACAAACAGTTTTTATTGAAAATTATTGTATCAAGCCCTTTAAATTTTTATACACGTAAAAATAAAGCAAAATATAACTTCTTTATTATTTTTATAATTTCTTCGTTTAAATTACAATATTAATTTAATATTGTAATTAATACTATATTATTAGTATACTATATATTTAGTACTATAGTATTAACATTAGAAATTAATGATTTTAATTGTCTTTATGGAGAACATGGAATAACTAACTGTTTAATTGATAAATTGAAATTTTTTTTCAATTTTTGAGTGTAATATCTTCAACTAGATACGAATTGTAATCATTTGACGTATCGTTGAAAAAAGTAGGTCAAGTTAGAACAGAGAAATAAATGATAGTTACAAAAATATATCTTCTCAGCTTTGCATCGAAGCTAAAACTTAAAATATAGTAAAATAATTTTAATACGAATAAGAAATTTCTTCTTACAAGGGGCGACTAAAATTATGGGATCCTTGATCTTTATTGAAGTTATTGAATCTAAATGAGATAAAAATCAAACGAGTTAAACATTTATACTAATTTAAAAAGAATTAAGAAAAAATGCAANTACTAACTTAAAAAGAATTAAGAAAAAATGCAAAAAATTCATTGCCATACGCGGGTTAGAACCTCGTACCCCAAGCGTGTAAAACATAAGTATTACCAACTCGGCAACCGTACGTCGCTACCGACGGTTGAAAAAATTGGCTATTTAAGGTAGTTCAAATTTCAAAGTTATTTTTCTCGACTTAAAAGAAGCAAACAAATTTAAATAAGTTTAACTTTCTATGCTATATTAATTTTTCATTTATATAATATTTATGAAAATCTGTACTCCCCTTGTCAGGTATTTTAAAATAAAATAAAATACAATACCCAGAATTTTAACACAAAAATAGCAAATTTTAGAATACGGTAGTCATTTTTACAATGAAGACAAATCCAGAGGTCAAATTTTTTTTTTTCAAATTAAAGTATATTACATTAGCTTTAATTTAAGATATATATAAAAGTGTCAGTCTTTCCGGAACATTTTCAAAAGTTAATTTTTTGTGAAAAAGTGGTTATTTTGAATCCCCTTCCGTGGGCAGGGAAAGGATCAAATTTATAAAAAAAATTATATTGATTCGGTCATTTTTAAAAAAGTTAGGGCAATTTTAAGTAAAAAAAAAATGAAAAAATATCGAAAATTAGCGATTTTTAAATTTGTAATTTTTTTGGGGATTTCCCCCGTTTACGGGGAACGAGGGATTTTTTTCAATTTTTGAGGGTAATGTCTTCAACTAGATACGATTTGTGATCTTTTGACATATTTTTCATTAAAATCGGTTCAGTAAGTGCTGAGATTGAGCGTTCACAGACACAAAAAAAAAATAATAAAAAAAAAAACACTTCATAGTAAAATTAATACCTTCTCAGCTTCGCATCGAAGCTAAAATATATAAAAATTTTTATTTTACATTTTAATTTTATTAAAATTTCAATATAGCCTTATTTTTACAAAAAAATTTGATAGGTAATTTAGCTTCTAAATAAAAGTTGAGTACTGGACTAATATTGGCGATTAATACATGAATTACATCTAGTTGAAAACATTACCCTAATTTATTAATAATAAAAATATTATAAAAACAACTATTTTCAGATCTTTCAATTTTAATGTTTAAATATAAACTTAAATATATAATATATTTTAGAGTGGAAATTAAGAAAAATACATACTTTAAAGTTTTTAAACTACAATTTAAATAAATAAATCAGTTTAATGGGAGTTAATTTCCTAAATCCTTTTATAAATACACCATTGATTATTAACCGTGCTGGTTTAATACTTGTATTCAAGCTATGCGTAATTACAATTATTTATTAATCATGGGCTAGAAATTTTTTTAAAAATATCTCTATGCAATAAAATTCTGAATATACCATGAGTTACAAGAAATAGAATAAGTAAATTGAGAATATTAAACATTTATATATTATAAAACTCATTAAAATAAATAAATTTAACAGATCATAAGAAAATTTATACATCAGAAAATATAAAAGAATAATATGTTTATACAATATAACATATAAGACATTTTGTGTAAATAATTATAGAGTTTAATAATACAAATAATAATATAATATTCTTTGGCAACTCTAAAACGAATTAACAAAAATATTTACCCTATATGCCCAAATTATTTATTTTATAAAATTGGTGTAACAGAACTTTGGTTGCAATAGATAATTGAACCAGTAAAGTTTATAGCAGCTGCTAAAATGAACACAGGAAACCAACGACCATGTGATGCAGTTACAAGTTCAGCAGTCAAAGGACCACAAATTATTCCTGGTATTGTAGCCTGTATTTTTATTTTATATAAATAAGTCAGTTTAGTCAAAAGTTTTAGTTTAAAAATATTTATTTTGTTATTATGGTTTGTGAAATAATATTAATAAAAACAGGAAATATTTAAGGGAGACTACTCCTATTAAAACTCCTTATTTAAATAATGTAATAACTTTATTTTTTTTTACTACTATAATATTTTACCAAGGTATTTGAAATTGAAAATGTAATCCCAGCATGATTAGGGGCTATTTCAGCATGATTACTCAAATGTCCAGCTGAATTACATGCACATAATCCCATTGATATTGATATAAATCTATAAAATAACAAATAAACATTTTCAATCTTAAATTTAAAATGATATAGGAATGCATACATTATAGCTGCAGTTAAACTTTTCATAGTGCAAAATATTAACAAGAATAAAGCTGGCCCCATCAAACCAAGTGTTGTCATGATTCTTCTAACAGCAAGTATTGACCATTTATGATCAATTAACTTATCAGCATAATTTCCTGCAACTATTCCAAAAAATAAAATTAATAGAAGTATATTAAGTACATTATAGATATCATTAAGAACATATTGATTTCTACAGATTCTATATAATTGATAAATATTTTATTTTCCAAACACTGATTAGAGTTAAAAATTCATTGAAAGTAAGAAAAAAATATACATACCAGCACTAAAAACTGAATTAAATATGTAAGGTATAGCTGTTAAACTCATACTAAATGAATTGGCTCCTAGATATTTTAAGTATGTTGGAAACCAATGCATAATGATATAATTTGACCAATTCATTGAGAAATGTGCAATATATATTGCCCATAAAGGCCAATGAATAAAAAATTTTTTCCAGTGTATATTGGTATTTGTATTCTGAAATTAAAATTAAAACATAATTATTTTTTGTATAAAAAATTTGTTAAAATCAGTTTCTGTAGAACAGTAAATAAAAGTTTGTAATAATTACTACTATTATTGATAAAATTATAATAGCATACTGAAAATGATGCCTCTGACTTAATTCTTAACTTTTATCATATAATATAATAAAAATTGATCACTTGTAGCTAATATAATTTAAAACTAAAAGATATTAAAAATATTAATGTTACCATTATCAACGCTAAACACATGTGTTTGATAATAGTAACATTGTTTTCAAAATACGTATCCGCGATTTTTTAGTAATTTGTTTTGTGTCTTTTTGAGTTTAATTTTTTTTAGTTTTAAATTTATAATATAGTTTTAATTTAAAACATATAATACTTAATAAAACAAATGTTTATACTCATATTAATATTTTGAAAATTATACTATTATATTGTAAGAGCATTTACAAATGTATTATTGTAAAACTGAAATACTGAATGCTCTACAAAAAAAGATGTTTGTTAAAATAAATACCTTACATTATATTAAATTTTTTTTTAATAAATCTATTAGTAATAGAGATTTACAATTATAAACTTACACAAGATGAATTAATGATTAATGGTAGCTCATCTATTCTGATGTCTTTTTCTGAATATAATGAAATCCAAATGATTGACCATACTATACCAACTGAACCAAAAAGGTAAAAACTTGTTTGCCACATTAAATGAGGACATATCTAAAAATCATTAATAATCTTTATCTGTTAAACCTAAAAATTATGACAAAATTAATTTTATAGTCATTACAACTGATGCTACTGTTTGACCAACAGAACCCGCAGCTACTAAATACCCAAAAGCACTAGAACGATCTTTCATTGCAATGTTGTGAGCAAATATATGAACAATCGTTGGCAAACCTTAAAAAAATAATTTTTTCAAAATAATTTTAATTTAAATAATGTTCTATCATACCAAGACCTTCTCCAACTCCAGAAATAACTCTACAAAATATAAGAGCAAATGTGTTGTGAGAAATATTTGGTGTTATAATAGTAGATATCGACCATAAAAGTACAGAAAGCAGTAAAATTGCTTTTCCTCCATATTTTTTTGCAGCATATGCTCCAATTATCTAAATTAATAGAATTAATATATACATGACTAGCTTACTCTTATATTTACTTTAATTACCTGACTTGCAAGATAGCCAAACGCAAAAGCTGATAATACTAAACCCTGCCAATGCATTGACCATTTAAAATAACTAGTCATAGGTATTATAGCAATAGGCATTACTATACGGTCAGCTGCATTAATGAAATTTGCAACTGCACATAGTATTACAATATGAGTATGACTCATATTAGAAACCATATTTCAAACCTAAAAATATGTAGACACTTAAAATAATTAACAATATGGTATATAATGATACAATACATTTTTATTGTTTAAAATTATAGTATTTTTCACCAATTTCAAAGCCACGTCCACATTCTGTTTAAGCATGATGAAAATGTAACCCATTAAAAACATAAAAATATGTAATAGATTATTCCATAAGACTTTTACAAAAGTTATTTATAAAAATAATATACATTTAAATCATGATTTAATTTGGTAATGAATAAATTGAAAAAGGAACTTTTAATAATAAATTAAAATTGCTATGGATTTTTATAACTATAAGTAAAATTACGAGTCAAAATTATCTATAAGTTAAACAAATCACCAATTATATGATAAGCCTTATCACAAAAATATTTATTATAATTTTAAATTAGTTGAAAATTTTTACTATAGAATCCACTTATTAACAGTTTGAAGGATTCCAATCATGAATAAATTAGCACCTAGTAAAAGCACAGTTTATGTATCTAACATTCCATTTAATTTAACTAACAATGATTTGCACAAGGTATTTGAAAAATATGGAAAAATAGTCAAGTAAGCAATTTTTTTTTCATTTGGAAAGTTTTTGATGTTCATTCTAAACGTGTCATTAATTTCATTGCCACAATTTAAGATTAAAAAACAATGTTTTTTTGTACAAAATTTTACTTAAAAAGAAAAGAAATCTTTTTTTCTTCAATATCCCTTGATTGTGTTTATAGTGGCTTAATAATATGTCATGCAAAATTTAAAGTTATTCCATTATATTGTCAAGTTCAAAAAAAGGTAAAGTTAACTTTTCTCTATAACTGTATATTTATGTTGCTATTATTAATTGTGACAATAGAAAGTGTTATGAGAATTAAAAATATATTAAACTATTGTTTTTTGTATTATTTTTATTCAAATATTACCTAACATTGACAAATTCAATAAATTACAAACCTACCTATTGTTTGGTGTAAAAAACAATAGTGCCTTCACATTTTATGAATTTTAGTTATTTATTTAATTAAAATTAGTCATTTTAAAAAGTGTAATAAGAAAAAAATGAATACATTTTTCAAATCGGTAATTAGATATGAACATTCAAACAATTTTTCTATGAATGTTATAAATAAAAATCCACATATAGATTTTTTTGTCATATTTAGTGTTTAAAAAAAAGTAATTTTGTAAATACTCTAATTATAGCGTAATATAAATGGTAGAGAAAAAAGTATGATATTTAATATATATCGTATTAAATATAATGTAATCAACATCAAATTTTGTCTAGCTGTTATCTTCATTAAAATTTCAAATTTTGTTGGTTAGGTTCTGAGTATTTTGCTTCTTTGGGCAATATAAAAAATGTCACTTTTTAATTTTTTTTTATAAGCTTTACTGTAAAAAGTTTAAGTGTTGTCTTGAAAAAGCTACATTTCAACAGATATTTCTCTGTAATTAGGATATTTATTATTTATTTTCCCTTTTACAATGAAATATATTACATGTTTGTATCTAAAAATTACTTTGTAATTTTTTTTATTTTAATGTACTTAGTAAATGTATTAGGTACTTTGTATATAAAAACATTAATAATGAATAATAATAATTAGATAGAGAATCCATAACTAAAGTATAATTTATCAAATGAAAGGAATATTGATAAAGCCGTAATATAATATTAAATTTTATGTATTAGAGTAACTGTGGTCAAAGATAAATTAACACGGCAAAGCAAAGGTGTTGCTTTTATATTATTTTTAAATCGCGAAGATGCAAAAAATTGTGTTCATGCAACTAATGGCACTCAGGTATATTGTATAATTGTTTTAAAATTTTCAACAAAAATGTACATTTTTAAAAAAAGTTAATAACTTATATAATTGAATAAAAAAAAGTAAATCAATTAAATTGCAGATGTTTGGACGTAATTTAAAAAGTTCTATAGCTGTTGACAATGGGCGTAGTACAGAATTTATTCGAAAACGTCAATATACTGATAAGAGCTTTTGCTATGAATGTGGTCAGGAAGGCCATCTAAGTTATAATTGTCCTGAAAATTGTTTAGGTGAACGACAGCCTCCAGCTAAGAAAAAAAAGAAAAAAATTTTTAATATGAATGTAGAAAATAATACTAAAGTAATAAACAACTTATAATATACAATTTAATATTTAATACTATTTTTACTTTTACTCATAATAGGGACAAATTTCTTGCCAAAGTTCAGATGATGATACTGATTTTTATGATAAAACTAAATCATGTTCAAAATTTTCTAACAGTAATCATAATGATTTATCGGATCAGGAAACTTTAAGTGCTGTAATCAAAGAAGAAGTAATAAGCAACAAAATAATAACATTCAGTATATTGATTTAGTATCACCATTTTTTATGTTTTAGCAAGAAAAATATTTTGTTCAATCCAGTTCCACAGAAGTGAAAATCAAAAAAAAGTACCGAAAAAATTCCTACTTTAGTGATGAAGAAGAACTTGATGACCATGATTAGGAAACTCATTGAGAATTTTTTTCTTTTATATACAATATAAAGTGGAACAAGTTTCTTATGTAAATGAATTGTACATATGCTGTTAATAAAAATAATATTACATTTTTTTCTTCAGTTTAATTTGCTTCAAAAACTTGCTTGTTATTTATATGAGTGAAAATTTTTACATGGTCCATATTATGGAAACTTTTCTTTATTGTTCTGTTTATTAGGTTCATCAAACTGACATTGAGAGTTTTGTGTACATTTTGGTATATCAATATTAAATATTTCGAAATTTAAATTTGAACTGCACTGACTGTTAGGTAATGATTTAAATTCAATTCGTTTCAATTCCTTCACTAAAAATTCTTAAAAAAAAAATAATGAGAAAAAAATTAATTATCTTTATATTTAATCTAATATAAATTTTTAGAGAAAAACAACTTTATTAATAATAATTATTTTATGTGTAGCTGAGTTAGTTTTACTCATATTTTTTGTGTTTGTGTATCAAACTGATCAACTCTTACTAGATTTTTTTGTTTAATAATATGACAAAATATCAAAACATATCTAGTTACCTATCAGCATCATAATTAAAAAAAATTCCTGCCAGTTTCATAATAAAGAGAAATGCCCCAAAAAAATATAGTTATTATAAAATAGTTAATGTTGATATTTATAGTTTACACTCTACATTGAAATAGCTTTTTAAGAACTGGATGGAGTACAACATTTGTTATGATAATACTTAATAAAATTAATTGCCTTGCTGACGAAATAATATTTTTTGAAAATCTAATTTTTAACCAAGATGTGCAGGCTTAAAAATCATGTCAGCATTTTTTTTTTTTTCAATTTTTGATAATGTTTCAAAAAATTTGATTTTTTTAAACTAACATCAAATTAAATCTAATACAATCTACTTTAAGATTAAAAAAGAAAGAAATTATTTGAAAATTTGATTTCTAGATATCAAAGTTAACCTAAGTACTAAAAAAGACGTAACCGCCATATCAATTTTTTACAATAAAATGTGACTTTCTTAAACCTACATAAAATTTAAGGTAATACAATGTCTTTAAAAATGAAAAAAGAAAAATTATATGAAATTTTGATTTCTAGGAGTAATGGAGCATTAAAGCTAAAAATATTACACAATTTTCGGAAAAAATGATAGACTTTGTAATATTTTGCATAGTAAGGAATATTAATATTATTCAAAATATTTAAATAAATAACCAAGTAATTTTTAATAGAATTAGATTTTTTTTTTATGTGTTTCAAATACACATCAAAGCATTTTACAGTGATTTTAATCACTTTCACATATCAATAAACTGATCCATAAAATATCTCAATACTACTATGATGGATCCCTTTTTATTTTTTGGGATTTAAACTAAGTATGTTTTATTATTTAATTTTTTCTATATATCAAGTATTATGTTTTAATATTAAAATGACAATTTCTCTATTTGATAAAATTTACATATTAAATAAAATTGTTTTACAGACATACGAAATATGTTAAAGTTTTGAGCTACTTACTGTTAGTATTACAAAGTTCAATTTTTTGGATTTTTCCAACGATTACATCATAACGACCTTTACATTTACCAATATGACTACGAAAGTCATCATCTAATTTTCCCAATCTATATAGAATACAATAGCTGTTTTCTATAACTTCTTCTACTAATTTTAGTTCATCATATTTAAATAATTCTTTTTCTGTAAAAATAATCAGTTATGTATAAGCATTTAAAAAATAAATCATTAATCTATAAATTTGTACTTGTTATTATACAAGTAATTACTGGTTGATCATAATAAAAAAATATATCAATTTTTAAATTAAATTATTCTCATAATGGAAGAATGAAAAATTCATTGTGACCATATAATTGAATAAAAAGTAATATATATATCTTGCTTTACAATATAAATACATATTACAAATAATATTCCTAAACTTATATCTAATGTTCACTTAGTTCACAAATTACTGTTATAAGTTTCAATCTGAGTAATTTTAATTTTTTTTTACTTAAAAATTCTATACTTTGTTCTTGTGTTTGAGCATTAAATTTAAACATAGATTAACAATTTACTCCATCAATTAAAGATACAACATTTCATTTGAATAAACAAGTTAAATTATAACATACTCTAAATTAATAAAAAGATTGAAATAGCAGGAAATATTCTAAATAATACTAATATAATTTAATTTTTTTATTGAAAAATCTAAAGATGTACAGAAAAACACCTGTTGGTTTAACTACGGTTTCATAATTTTTATATTTTATATAAATAAATTACAATTATGATTTTTTTTAATAAAAAATTAATTAAAAATATAAGTAAAATTACTTTTTTCATATGCATTGAAGATAATATACAAAAAATGTATAATTAATTGAATGAATGATGATGTACAATCACATATTTTGCTTGGACATTTATACATCCACTTTGGTACAAACTTATTATTAAGAAGTATATGGACATAGTGCAAGAAATCAATTATAATATGATACTCGTGTTTTAATAATTCAAGTTGCAAACAAAACACACGAAGTACACAAGTTCCTATAATTGATTTTAAAAATTTATTGAAATTATAAAATATTTATAAGAATATGTATAAAAAAACATTACCTGTTGTAAATGTACTCATACTTTCAGATAAAATAAAAGTTTTTTCAGCTGAAAATATTACAACATTATATAATTCATTCAAGAAAAAGTAATAAATAATCTAAATAAATATTTTTTCTGAAGTCCGTAACTAAATAATACAATAATTATTCATTATTTAGTAATATTATATGATCATATATAGTAAGGTGCAACATTACATAGTAGTAGCTAAAAAACTATAAAATCAATTTATGTAGATTATTAAATGGGTGACTATAAGACAACTTTTACAGTATTTAAAAATCACTATGTTATAACTAGAGGTTAAAATATTAATTTGGTATTGCAATACTCTATTTTTGTGATGTTGCTTTAAGCATTTGATATTAAAAAGCAAACATTATATTTCAGATAGTTGTAATATGATCATCTACAGTATAGTATGTTAAATAAAGGTACCATTTGCTTCATGACTTTCTTTTAATGTTGATTTAATTCAAAAATTTTATCACACAAAACAAATTTATAATATTATATGGGTGCAAATGCAAATCAGAAATTTTCTGGGCTGACTTTTATTTATACAGAATTATTTTATATTGATGACTTTAAAAATGATGCTAGTAAAAAAAATAAATAATGGAAAACAGCGAATGTATACTTTTCTTGCATGGCATACCAATTCTATGCCTTTAAATTGTTTTAACTCATTAAGTACTTATCCTAAAGCTGTTATGACCCACCAATTTTTTTTTTTTTATCTAAAAAGTAATCTGAAATTATGAAAAAAATTGAATTTTTTTAAAGAAACAAATATTATAAATTTGTTTTTCACATAGTCTAAGAAGCAATAATTAAAAAAAAAAATTACAAAAATTAAAAAAGAATATTTTATATCATTATCAGTTTATTAAAATTGGTAGTTTTGGTGCTTAATAAAAGAACTTAAAATTAATTTTCTTTTCAATGACATAAAAGATGTTATATATGAATTAAAATAGATTTTAAAAATATTTTCTTATGGAAATTTTAAATACAATAATAATTTTAAAATAATCATTTGCTTGTGGTGAACACATGCTAATTTTATACACTCACATAATTTTTGTTCTAGGTTTCTCAATTTTCAGATAAATGGAGAGGAAGTTTTACTATATTAAACAGCTTGGTTTATGCTAACCCTTCATCGAACGCCTGCTTTAATCTTCTAAACTACCATCAAAGCAAGTGGTCAAACTCATAATTGTTTATTGTTAATCGAGTACACTAAAACCTAAGCCGATTAAATTGGGTACACTTATTACCGTTCAGTATTAAGTGTACTGAACCATTCTAACATTAATGATCGTAGTCCAATACTATTATGGGCTTACCAAAATCTCTTTTTTAAGAATTTTAAAAACATAACCTTAATACAAAAATTACTATACATAACTTTTTAATCAAACCCCTACATGGACTTTTGGCTTTGAAATTTGGGATGCAACAAAAAATAAACACATACCAATAAAATCCAAATATTTCAATGAGAGTACTAAGAACTATTTTAAAAGCTCCACCATATATCTCCAATGAAACTATGTACTCTGATTTAAAAATTCCTAAAATAACTGATGAAACTAAATGAAACTTTTTACACTTTTATAACAAACTACAAAAAAACACTAGTAGCTAACTTTTACAATAATATATTGCTGGCAACCCATACAGTAGACTTAAGCGTAATTGGAGTAGAGATCTCCTAAATTGAAAAAAAAATAATCTATAGTAAATCTTTTTATAACTAGAAGCTATGTCATTGTTTTATAAAAATAAAAGCCACAGATCAACAATTGACACTACGAGTTTAAAACTCGTAATGAAGGCACATTACATGTTTATCGACAAAACTTTATTTGCAAATTCAATGTATACTTATTGTTCTAACTTGTAACAGATTGAATATTACTAAATATAAAAAAATAAAATAAAATAATAATCATGAGTTAATTGTAACTTACTTGATAATTGACATAAATTATTTGTGAAACCAGGATACAATGTAGACTTACTGAATAAGTTTATTAACTGTTTTATGACTTCTAGAGGAGGACGACAAAGTATAATTTCTTTAGTAATATTAAACATTTCTAGTTGCCTGAAATGATTACAAAACATACATTTATAATAAAAATTATTCAACTATGTATTAATAGAAAATATGTAGTTCAGTTTACTTAGACTCTAGTATCTTCCAGTTTATACTGCATAAATTGGCCAAAAATTTTACTAAAACTTCAAGTAATAGTACAAATTCAAAAGTTCGACTCTAATATTTAACAATAAAACTTTATTTGAAATTGTTTAAGCTAACATAATTTAAGATTAATTTTTAATTACTTGAGCACCAATAATTTGTAAAAAATTAAGTATAGTTTTAAATGTATTGTCAGAATCATCAAAGACTACTTTTGGAACAATATCTGTGATAGTAGTTAAAACTGATATACAATCTAATAATCGAGAAAAATGCATATCAAACCTAAATTTCATTAAAAAAAAAAGTTAATTCCTAAAATATAGAAATGTTAATTTTATTTAAATTAAGTGTTGCATGAAAAAATTAATTAATTAATTGGTTGATTGTACTTACGATGAATATACTTTCTTTGAAGTTTTTTGGTTATAGTTAAGATAATTATAGATAAGATCTTTCTCACGTTCTATGAAATCAGCACTATCTTGAGGCATTTTCAAAGAGTTGATATTTGATATAATAATTTCATTTAAATTTTGAAATAACTAAGAAATAAATAAAATCAACAGTTAACTTAATAATATAAAATAGATACTTAGCATATAATATACAGAAATATCTATATTTTCACTATTTTTCGTACAATTTAAAATAAATACTTTTTTTGCAAACTTTTATAATAAGTAAATAGTTACTAAAAACAATAGCTATTAAAAATCATTATTTTACTTTGATAAATTCTAGGTATAATAGTCAATTTTTTTTAATTGAAATTAAAATTTTACACTAAATAAGCATAATTGTGAAGAGGATAACTAAAATATCTAACATAAATTTTAATACACTACTACTAATAAAAATATTATTTTGCACATAAAATAGAGTGTTATAGTAATATTTTACTTGTTTAATCAATATAAATGCTTGGATATCATTATAATTGTCTAAAACAATCAATTTGGTAAGTATAATATGGCATTCTTGTATAGAACTTGAGTTTTTTGTACCTATTAATGATATCAATTAAAATTAAAATAATTAAATAAACAAATAAACAAATTTACCAGAAATTAACATTTGACATCCAAAAAGATCAGGATATAAATGTTTTTTAAGTTTATTGTATACTTTGTTTCTTTTGTTCTCTAATTCATTAAAAGAATTTATATCACTTGATTCTTTAAGATAAGTTTGAGTTGATGCTGTCTTTTTGATATGTTCTGAAGCGTCATGTCTATAAAAAATATAATTATTTTAATTAAATTATGCTACTATAGTAATTCAAAAGTATTATTACAATAATTTTGAGTTACTTCCAGTTTTCATACAACTAAATGAAGTGTTTTTTTGAGGAAGAATTTTGCTTACATTCATGTTCATTTCTTTCATTTTATTTTGTAGAGCAGTTAATTCTTGTTTCTATAAATAAAGAAATGTTTTTTCTTACTTATAATGATATAAATTCTTAAAGACTAAAAAAACCTGAAATTTTAGCTCTGTATCTTTACAATCGATCATTTTTTTCATAGAAATATATTTATCATCTTTTTCTTGTTTCATATGGCTTAATTGTACTTCCAGCTGCATAATTTTCATTTTTAAGTTTTTAATCTCGCCATCTTTTATTTGATTTTTTACTTGAAGTGCTTCAATATTAAAATGATTAGTGTCATTCATAGGATCTGAAAAAAATAAATATATATGTATATTTATAAATATTCCCTAAACTTATATTGTAATTTTTGCATTTAAGAATAATGTAAGTAGTATTCTTAAATTATTCCGAATTATTATTAATCATTATTCAAACTAGTTCAGAAGATATTATTTACTAGGATAATGTGATTGTGATGCAAGAGTTTCAATGTTATTTATAGTATTCACTTCATCACAAGTCAAATCATCTCCCCAAAAATCATCTTCATTGTAAGGCGGTTCTGTTCTTGGTCTTTTACTCATGGTGCAAAAATTAAAAAAATAGAATTTAGTGTTAAGTTTCCAATATCACATATCTTTGTTCAATTATATTTGATAAATAATTTTAAAAAATTAACATAACAGTTCACTTATCATTTTTATCATTCATTTCATTGTTAACCTATAAATCAATTTTGAATAACATAAATATTTTGATGTTTTTTTTTTAATATTCTGTTTTTAATGTAAACATTTGAATAAAAACATATTTTAATTTCTTTTAATTGTAATGGCACTAATTTTTATTGTGTGAATTATTCTCATAAATATGAATTTAGGAAATATGTAACAATACGTTTTTATAACGTCTGTGAACCATATGTTTATTACAAAGTCTTTGAAAAATTCATTACAACAAAATGCAAATGGCTGGCGTAGTAGCACTAGATGTAATGGTTTGTTAGAGAATGTTTATTGTTTCCGTTCGTCAAATCGTTGTCCGTGTATGTTTGTTCGGATTGTGATTGTGTCGTTTGTGTGTTATTGTTAGTTCGTTGTAATTTATCGTATATATTGCGACTTACAGTACGCGAATTAATCCGTGGAAATGAATTGACATACTTTGGATTATCGTGGTCGCAACAACAGCGTATCATGACAAAGGATTGTATGGGTAGCCCGTGTGCCGCCGACACCTGTGAACCTAGCCGCTGTGCTATGTTCAGGGTTTTTTCGTAAGTCTTATAGGGATTTCGTTTGTACATGTTTATGTTGTGTACAAGTTGATATTTAATGGTAATTATAGTAAAGTTTTTGTTAAAAAAATAATTATTATGGAAAGTGGTCATATCTGATATCGCACAAAAGCGACCAGCCATGCCACAGGTATTGCTTGTGACAGTGTTATGGCTATTAGTGTTTGATGGGAATGCTCAGATGTTTGATCATGATATGGGTGTTTTGGATAGACGAGTGTTGACTGATGGTGTTGATTATGAGGTATTTAATAAAACACTTGCATCTAAACCAGGATCAGGTTCACGAGCGACCCGCACTAATTCATCTCAGCAACATGTCACTAGTCCAACTAGTCGACTGATACCTGCTTACAATCCTCCTGATCGAAATACTTTTACACCTCCTTTACCTCCAGAACGTTTTAATCCATTTGCTGACAAACCAACACTCCGGGGAAGCAATTCTGAAAAACCAATTCCACCTCGGCGACCTGGAATTGTTCAGCCAAAATTTGAAAAAGAATTTATACCAATTAGGCCAGTTGATGTTCCAGTTGCTGATACCAAGAAGAAAACAATTAATACACCAAGTTTAAATAAGCTCAGAGTACCAGACTCAACTTATTCTGAACCAACCAGTACAACTGCAGCAAATGGATTTAAAGGGCTTAATGATACATATAGTATTGTTGTTCAACAGGTACAAAATTTATCGAGTCCAAATGTTTTTAGAATATTATTTGATGATACTGGTAAGAAAATGGATGTGTTAATGGAAAACAATAAGCCTAGTTTTGATCAAGATTTAAAACCATCACGCACAGTAAAACAAGAAATTCCTAAACCAACTCAACGTAATATTCTAACATCAGAATTAACATCAACTTCTTTAATTTATGAAACTACACCTGAAGAAGCTACTGAAAAATATGAGCCAACTATGTTTAAAGAACAACAAGTTACAGAGTCAAAAAGTGATACTGATATTCCAGAATCTCCTCCTGAAATAGTTTCTATGCCGGATCATCCTGAGCCTAGAGCTAGGTACATTCTTGGTGTATTTTGGGATGTTCATGTTTATTTAATTGCTATACTTTTTTTGGTTTTGGTTTTTTGTTCTATTGTGAGCATCATACGAATAAGAGCTTTTAAGAAATTACTTACTTGTGGATACTTTGTGACAATTCATAGTCTATTAATTGTTATAGGCTGTGTAAGGAGTGTCTATTTGTTATATGATCCTTACAATGTAAATGGAACATTATCTATTCAAGTATCAGGACTAGCTTTGAATATTGTATTTCCACTTTTACTCACTGTATATTCAGTACTGTTTTTGTTCTTGTTAAGAGCTACTGATATCAAAACTATATTTTATAATTTACAAAAATCATCATTATTAGCAATATTTATCAGTTGTTATATGGCATTTTGTATCATTGTACTGTTTTATTCAGAAGCACATATATTGTCACTTGTATCCAAATGTGTTTACATTTTACTATGTGTAATACTTGGTGTGACTTATATATGTTTGTACAGATCAATGTCGAATGCCTCTTTAAGAAAACAAGGCACTATTTTTGGTGCTAGTTTTCATGAGCATAGACCGACTTTAGCCCATTCAGTACGTGTAACACTAGCTACTAGTATGTTAAGTTTATTAATGGCATCGGTTCAGCTTTATGGAATGGTTGGTGTATATGAAATGTTAGGAAAAGATCAACCTAATCCTTGGCTCTGGTGGGGGTACCAATTTTCTGTGCGAGTGATTGAGATATCGTCATGTTTTTTAATTTTCTGGGCATCTATTCAACCATTAAGGTACACCAGTGAAAAAGAAGCTCAAAATCAATCAGGATTAACATTATTTCCATGTCGTGGTACTGTATCACGAAATGATCCACCATCAGATGATATTTATCCTGCTATATGTAGTGCCAACCAAGCTGTTCATAATTATACTTTGCGTACTGGTAAACATATATATGATGATACATATTCAATGGGTGGTCCACCTTTAGTAAACCATCAATTGTTTGCACATACAACTGAAAGGAGGTCATTGAAACGAATGGATGAAGATTCCAGAAGCATGTATGCTTATGCTGAACGCGCTGCCATACAACCTTCACCATCTATGTTGGTAGCTGAAAATGGATTTGTTAGGTTTAGATCACTTGCTGATGAGAGGAGTCCTGATGATCAAATGTATCCTATCAAAGTTCACCATCACAGGGATAACTGTTGTACTTAAAATGAAAATTTAGTAAAATTACTTATCCCTTTTAATTATTATTTTGTACATAATATGTTTATGTAATTTTTTTTGTTTAAATTTAATGTGTTCCTTTAGCTTAAACAACATTCCATGATTTAACAATTTCTTTTATACTTTTTCAAGACTGTTTTATTTCTTAGGGGCCAAAAGTTTGACTTTTTATGTGATTAAATGTTCAGAGATATTATCTTGTCATCTTGATTTTCAAACAAATCAAAAATAACTTATTATTGAACAAATATTATATGGCCTATACTTAACACTATTATTTAATCCTATTTAAAATTAAAGTTTAGCTTCTTATTTTACTAACAAAATATGTCTGTGCCATTGTTATTCTTTTTTTTATACATTATGTGTACTACAAATTATCTATACATAGTGACAATTTATTGACTTTCATATTTTAAAAATTATTTATTATTGTCAATAATTAAACTTATTAAATGTCCGTCCCGGATTGAATAATTTTGTGAGACTTGATTTATTTTATGATTATCTTGTTATATGTTTCTAATTAAATTTATACAAACTAATAATGTGACAGTATAGGTACAATTTTTTTTAGTTGTTTACTATGGAACTCGCTAATCATGACAACTGATTTAACAACTAATAGATGAATTTGTTTAGTTTTAATTTTTGTTATGTTCCTCTGAGTAAATAGAAATTTCATAAAAACTTTTACAGACGTCAAATTGATGAATAGAATATTAATAGGAATGTTTACTAATATAGTCGAACTTTTANAATTGATGAATAGAATATTAATAGGAATGTTTACTGATATAGTCGAACTTTTATCATGTTGTTATATTTACTTATTGTGATCATTCAAATTAGTGTACTTATATATATATATATATATATAATATTATAATTGTATAATTGTATTTGTATTTTGTAAATACTTTTTTTTTATATTCTGTCCTAAGTAGAGTTAAAAATATTGATGGAGATGAAAAAATATATATATAAATGTATATTATACCATTTTATCATGTGTAATTTTTTTTTTTTATTATTAACTAATAGGAATGTATTAAATTATTTTTGTTTGTCCTTGTCCTTATTAGCACATAATTTAAAGTATCCATTTATATATTTGCCCTTATAAATATAGAACAAAACCTAAGTACTAATTATTATCTGACATAAAAAGTAAAAGTGGGACAATGGAATCCACCGTCGCTACTTAAAGTGATCATTGTGTGTGGGAGGTATTAGAAAGTACTAGGTGTGCGCGCACTAGCCACAATCGCATGCTGTTTGTACCCTACAAGCGCGTGCCTGTGGGGCTAGCAGGCGGTCTCTCGAACATCTTTATCCATTCTTACGTGTAATAGATGTTTGACTTATTGCCAAATCGTGATAAGCGGGCGTTTATTTTGCAGAAATCAAAAAAGCGATTATATGGACTGTTGAGTTTTATTTAATAGAAAAATTGGTTATTTAACAAAATCGTTGTTAAGGTTACTTTAATTTACATCTTGAGATCTTAAACATCGTCTCATTTTAATGAATCACCAAATCTTGCCGATATTGTCAAAATAATTATTTTAATGAAAACCATTGCGATATGTAAATATGAAAATTCGCATTATAGAATTTTAAGATATTTTCCTGTGTACATTTTCATCCATTCGTTTTTCTTATCAAGCATTTCGATTAATTCTCATGCATGATTGGATAGATTATTAAATGAAATTATTGAATTTGGGTAATTCACTGAACCAGGATAGTTAAAATTTTGTTAGAAGTTGGGCTACAAAGAAAACTTATTTTTGACTGATCATATTGGGCTTGTGTAACATTCTTAAATATCTTAAGGTTTTTTTAATTTATTTCCTTTCAATGGCTATATTTTTAATGAAAGAAATTAGTAATTATAGAGAAAAGGTATAATTTCTCAATAATAATAGGTAATCATTAAAATCTGTATAAGAATCGACCAGAAGTTTGATTCAATGAAAAATTGCAACATAATCGATAAATGTGGCCCTAACGATTAACAGTAAAACTATGAAATTAAGATTCAAGTATACAAAATTACTAATACACGCTTGACATAAAACCAAAAATAAAAACTGTTTAGATATTGAAAGCAATGCGTTGATGTCTTATGTTGTTATCGTCATTATTGGAACCTAATTTAGACATTTTTTTTCTATGACGAGAAGGAACGTGCAATAAAAATCACCAGTCCGTCTGGGTTTGCAAATTACTTAGTTACTTTGCTCGAGGCAAAATGGTGAATACTAATATTTTGCTTATTTTCGAGACGGTTGTAAACAGTCTGCTGACAGAAAAGGTAAGTACCGAGTAGTACAAAATCACTGGTTGACAGAAAACGACGAAGAAAACACATATACGATTTTGGCGAACCGCCAGCCGCCGGGGAATTGACCGTCGCTAAACAATAACCGAGATTAGCTTTGCGTTTTTGCTTTGCAACAAAGTATTTCGTGTAGACATTTTTTTTTTTTGTATTCCTAGTCCCCCGGCACTGTCGACCGCGCTTGGCAAACGAACAATTCCAAGGGTTTCCTGGTTGAAATTATCGAATATCTGTGGGTGCATACCATTCTATACATTAGTCGGGGAAAAAGTTAAATTTAAAAATTAATTTAAGCGCTTTTACACCCTCTTCGCATCGTGTTTGCCATACGGTACTTTACCGTTTGGAAATCGCCTGTGTTATTTTGTGTGTAACTCCAGTCAGGCTATTATACTAGCTGCCTTTTTTCACTCTTCACTCAATTCCCTCCCATACCATCGCTGTTCTTCCTTTCCTTCGCCGGACGTACGTCGCTACAGGGCGTTTGCAAGTCTTTCAATGCATTCGTGCCAAACACAATCGATCCGATTCGGAGTCGACGAGCGGTCGTCTTTACTCTATTCATCTGCACCGCACGACAACGGGCTGATTATTATCACGGACGGGACAAACCGTTGTCAGATTTGTAGTTGGCTGTGGTGCGGTTGCCGCGTGTTCGTCTGCTGACAAAGAGACACCACTCGAGTTGTATTCGACTTTGTAATGTAGTGCCGGTGGTCGAGATTCGGCCACACGGCTATTACGTGTATTCGTGTGTTCACTTGCTGCTAGTTGTTTGTGTGTGACAAATATCACACGGTGGAGAAGAAGTGGGCGGGGTTGGAACTCGACCGACCGTGTTTGTGTTCACATGGTGTCCTAAAATGTATGCTCGATCTATTGAAAATATCTGAGAATATCCTCAACCGGCTACTCGTAATTGATTTTGACCGGGGGATTCCTATGTAAACTGTTATGGTACTTCCTATTTGTTTAAAACTGTGATATTCACACCCATTTATCTTTATTATTATCCTTAACTATTTATGTATTCAGTATGATCAGATACGTATTACGGAGGGGATTGGAGTTATATCCCTGTAGAAGTTATCACTCGTCAAATGTAAAATATCTCACACATGTAATATGTGAGTGCGAAGGCGTTTTGTAACCGAAGCAAAGGGAAACTCGATCAATAAGATTTTAAAGAAATCTATTTATACCATTCGAGAGTGATCATTGGAAATCATAAGAAAACGTTTTTTTTTATAGAGTGAATTTGCGCAATTCAACTTTTTAAGAAAACTCGAGCTTTTAGCTTTCTCGTGAAAATTAAAAGACGACAATTTTGGATGTTAATTTGTTTGGATTATTTTTTACTCGATAAACCTGTTTTTTGATAATTATATGTATCCAAAACTCAATATTTTGATCTATTAATATAATCATGAATGCGTGTGTGTCCATGTCATATACAAGGTTTTTTTATTTTTATGCTGTGACAATTCAATTACTGATCTCTCGTTTATTTCGTTGTGTGATTCAAAGATATTTTTACGAGTATGATTCACGCGTCAAAATATCTAACCGTTGGCTTGAAACATCAGTTCTAATAGTATTATGTCTTCTAGTGTAAACACAACCATGTTATATATGTTAAATTGAAATAATAATTATGCTGATAATTATTTTTATCTATTTTACGTTCATGCGACTATTTTTAGAGACTACTGGCAATTAAGATGTTAGCGCAATGTTACGTCTGTGACACTTAAAGTATATTTATCAAACAGATTTCTAGTTTACAATGGCGGGCTACAGCTTTATTTCATATTGTAACAACATGATATTAAATGGAAAATAATTAATTAGTTTCATGTTAATATTCATTATTTTTCCAGTGCAGAAGGCAACGGGAAACCACCACTGCACTTAAATTTCCCCAGTATATACCAATGGTATTAACCAACCTAACGATTGTAAAAAAAAAAAAAAACAAAATTCATTATGAGTGTAATAACCGTTATCGAGTTGTAAATAAGTAAAAATAAATAAATACTTTATTCAGTATTTTTTTTGGACAAAAATTATAATCTAAGATTTCAGTTTCCTGACTTACTGAACACCCTGTATAAAATTTTATTTTAATGAGGTTAATTTAAAATGAAGAGATGTATGTTTATAAAAGAAGAGGATTTGTATACAAATTTTTTAAATACCTGGATTTGTAATTATCACATTACCTTTTTTTAGTTTTATATTATTTGGGTCCGAATTTCAATGCATATTGCATTTTTTTAAATTATCTTAAACAATGCTCTCCAAACATAAAATTTGATTTATATAATGGAGGATTCAAAAATAAAACTTTTATTTTTATTTTTAAGATATTTTTGTCGTTATTGGGTTATATTAATAATTTTTGAGTATATTTACGTAAAAATTACTTTTTTTTTTTATTAAAATTAGGTAAATTTAAAGTGTATTTGGAAAAGCAACAAACATTTTTAATATGAATTATTATTTTATGCAATGTATAAAAATATGCATAGACTCATTTGGTCAAAAATGATGAAAATTACCTGTATTTTTTTACAGAAACATTTTTAAGATGAAAAAAAGTTAAATTTAACTTTTTAAAAACTTTGTTCTAATCACGCCAATCAAAATATTGTCGTTAAATACAGTTTTTTTTAAATGTAAAATTTTGTTGAAATATTAATAGTTTTTAAATTCAAAAATTAATAATGTGTACAAAATAATAATTATCTAGAGCAATTTTTTTGTTTTAAAGAATTTAATAGGAAATATCTTTGTTTTAATGC